TAGCACACCTTGTATTGTGTATACAAGCTATGCCTTGTCCCTCTCCGCCCCCTTTTTAAAAAAAGATACTTTAAAAAGAGACAATAAAGCACATCCAAAACCAAGCACAGCCCAAGTCAGTATCTGTTGCTGGCAGGTAGAGCTGTTCCAAGCAGCCTTTCCTCTGGGGAAGCAATGGTGAGCAGAACCGGGCTCCTGCAAGGCCTTCGGGGAATCACAGGGAAGTGGGTTGCTTGCCAGGCTGTGTGTAGGTAAAACCGCCTGCACCAAAGTGAAAACCCGACCCCGGCGTTCTTGCTCTTAGGTGTAACCCAACACGTTTCACTGGTAACGAGCCAAGGCCGGTAGCAATCTCGCTCTCCTGCGTTACCCGTACTCCTGGAGAGCGTTCTTCTGTGTTACAACCTGCAAGTTGCCTCGTATTTAGTACCGTATTATTAGATGAAGCAAAAATTTCACGAGCTAGTAAATATCATTAGACATCACAGATCTCACCTCTACATCTCTCTGAAACATCTAGTGTCTTAATCAAAATTGTAATAACAGTTAAGTTTTAGATCTTGTATATTCCAATTCTACGTTACTACGTAACGGGGTAACTACCATGAAAAGTTAACAGCAATGAACTCTCGTTTAGGCCCTTTTATTCAGAGAGCACAGTAAGTGCAGCAAGAGATTAAGCACGCACAGCATTGACAGAATGCAGCCTGGAGAATTGAAACCCCATGTACAGCCAACACATTTAGAACTAAAGAAACCCCATGCATTACATGCGGCTTAAATTTTTTAAGTTGATACTGCACCAAGCACTCTGTCAAAACTTCAAGCCGAAAGGAATACAATCTACATTAACCAAATAAAATGCAGAATCTAGAGTGTGGTAGTTGTTTTAAAGGCGCTTAATTAAAAAAAAAACCCACCAGCTATCCTGCCAACAGCAGCCAAAACAAAACAACCCCCAGCCCAACAAAACAAGACTAAGATCCAAGAACTCAGGCCTGTATCAACTTTACAACTTGTGAAACGTAAAATGTTCCTACTTATAGCACTGGATGCGATCACAATCTCCTCATTATATCCGCAGTTGAGATCTGAGGGGACGAGAGAGCTTGGAAATCAAGTGACTACGGGTAACTACGGTAACTTTCTTGCCACAATGGAGGAAGTCACCGGCCTGGAGCCGGGAGGCTGTAGGTGACGATCTGTGTGCTCCTGCGACCGTTCCAAGCGAAAAGCCAGTACTGGGCCTGAAATGCCTCGCTCTCTGTCCCTGCTTGAGAATAAGATACGAAGTTTATGATTTTGATCCTCTGCATTTTTTATTTTTTTAACCTTAGGCTCGGCTCTTCTATCCCTTTTTGTTGCACGACACGTAAAATGAAAATATCCACATTGAAGAGCAAGCCCATAAGCAGTGTTCCTGTCCAAAGAACTAGAAGGTAGCATGAAAAAACCCCAACAATTCTCCTTTATTCTGGTTTGATTTCAGGTATATCAGTTGTATTCATGCTTCCATCACTGAAAATCGCTTGTTTATCAGAAGTATGCTGGAGTATAAAATAAAGCCCATAAATGCATCTCCCCCCAAACCCACCACGAAACAAACCAAGGACCTTAACATTTATTTACTGCATATTTGCGATCGCTTTGCAATACAAGGATGTTTTAAGAAAGTATTGAGAGACGTATTTGGGAAGCCCTTCCCCCTTCTCCCAAAGGGTTAAATGAAGGCAGCATTTTTTTACGTATTAGTAAAACTAGTAAAATCAAGTAGCATGACTTGATTTTTCTGTGAAGATTAAAATCCAGGTGGCACACCGAAAGCAGTATATGAAAGCGCAGTGCCATCCTGCCCGTCCCCAGGAAAGGGTCCTTGCATGACGATTTTTTTGCTAAAGCTGTTTCTCAAAAAAAGAAAAGAATGAACACACAGGTTGCACGAATGCATGCACACATTACCACGTGAAATGTAGGTTCTTCTTCAAACCGCTTACAGGACTTAACTTTACAGAAGATGAGCCAGTCCACTGAAATTTTCCAAGCGGCTATCCCTCTTGCCTGGACGAAAGGCAGCATATGGATTTTTTCATATCATAGGTATTGACGGAGCAAGGATGTCTGTTTGTAAGGAATGCCATCAGAGGCCTATATAGAAAGAAAACCCTGCATCTTACAATTAAATATGCCCTTAAAAAAAAACCCCTTAAACACAATAATGCAAAGAAACCAATTTTGCCCTGCTGCTTAATTAGGTCTCCTGCCTGTAGTAGGCCATCACGTTATGTTGACCTATGCAATACTTTATGGAAGAGTCACCTCCAGAGAGGCCGAAAGCCATTTCCATCAACTGTATCGATGCTGACACTAGAATGGTAATACGTCTCACATGGAGGAGGAAGGGAGATTTGATTTTTCTTGTGAATAAGCTCATATTTGTATTTTACAAAACTTAGGTATTTTCCAAACTACTACGAGGAAAAAAGTTTCCCCATTCTCTTTTTGCTAATTCAGTATTTGAGGCAACATCACGGATTACAGTGCTTATAACATGTTTTATTCAATTCACATAGAAAAGCATGCAGTATTAATGTAAAATGGTACAGTATTAATGTAAAATGTTCAGAGCACATTAGGTAAACAAGTCATTAGCATACAAACCCATTTTTATGGTCTATACAGGCATACCGAACACATTCAGAATAACAATGCTTTTTGGGAACTAAATTAAAAATTGTGCTTAACTTCAAAAAATACAAGCCATGTTTGCAGTGTTAAAGAAGAGACGTTTTCTAACCGAAGTGCTGTAGTCCTGAAAAGAAAGAGGCTGCCACTTTATACCCACTTAAAAACAAGAGTTTCAGTACAGTACAGTGCTATGAAACAGCCAAGCAGCAACATTTCCTCTGGGAGGCAAGTTTTATGGCAAAACTGACATTGTTTTATAGCAATTTCATGAATCCATAGGATACATAAGCCAGTAGCTGCCTTACATGCACAAAACATAATCTTTAGGAATGGGAAACGTAACCTTTAAAAAATATTCTTACACAAATGACTGATTTGACAAAACCACTTAAAACTCTCCTGTTCAAGTGAGCCCTGGAAGATCACATAACCTGAAAACTTAAAGAAGACACCCAAACCACCCAAGTAAACAAAATGCCCAGCCAAAGAAAAGAATCTGGAATGGTTCTTCCCTAGGAAAGAGCCTGTAACAGGCAAGGGAATGTTCAGTTCTCACACAGTCGAAAAAGACAGGATCAGATTGCATGGAAGTCATTAAAAATTAAGTTCACCTGTAAATATTAAACATTTGCAGGTTGATGACTGAGTCACGTTCGATTTCCAAGCAGAGTCAGTTTTTGGTGGTTTTTGACGGACTAGCACTGGAAAGGCTGCTTTGAATTTTCCTCTTGGTCGATTGACTGGCATTTTTGTTTTTCCTTTCAGCTATAAAGGAAGACACCCAAGGAGGATTAAGCTGATTGTGCAGGTCAGATGACGTCTTTAAAAAGCAGGAACCGAACTTTTGTTCTTCAAACAACCTTTGTGAGTTACTGAATAGTAAACTCTGGGAAAAGTCTCTTTGAAACAAACAGTTCGGAGATTTGATATCACTAGCCGCTACGTTTTGGCCTGTAAACAGCGGAAAGTGGTCATTCGTATCTGGCTCAGATGGGGAGAGGATGGAAAACATAGCTGGTTTCCAGCCAGTTCTGTCAGCTGCTAGATTACTTGTCTCTGGACACTTCATACTCTGTTCCTCGTTCATCTCTTCCAGTTTCTTCTCAGTTTCATTCAGAAGCTTTGAGCACTCTGTTGACTTTGAAGAATTATCAAGATCGGAGGACTTGAAATTATAGCAGGGACTCTTGCTGTTGTCTGATTCGGACATCATTGAGTCCAACTCGGAAATTTTATCGAGGTAAGCAGCATCCATAGATGCCTCGCTGGAGGTTCTTGTGCGATTCATTTAAAAATTATCACTGGACTTTGCTGATGTCTCATCTGACTGACCAGCTACTGAATTTTGCTCTGATTCATCAAAATCTAAGTTCTCAGCAAAATTTGTTGGGCAGGTCCCCCAAAAGCCTGATTTTCCTGTAGTAAAACAGCTCAGTTTCTTTTCGCTATTGCAGCTGCTTGTGCTGTGCTCTGGAGAATCTTTGCTGCAATCATCTGAAGTGTCACAAAACTCTTCAAATTTCAGTTTTCTCAGGAACGTTGATGGTTTCCTTGCATTTTCTTTTCCATCAGGGGTGTTCAACTGAAGGCGACTGAGAGACAGAAAAGGAGTACACGGTGGTGGAAGATCATAAAGTTCTTCATCCTTATACGGGGTACATTCCTCAATTTTATTCCACTGCTCTTCTAAGCAGGCATCCATATTTGTAGTATTTTCATCCAGGAGAACCCCCTGACACCCTGGAAATAGTTCTTTCTTTGGGGCACACTGGGTATTTGAGCCATTTGAACCATCTTGACTCGAAGAGCTTAAACAGGTTCCACCACTTGTCAGCTGTTCAAGACTGTCAGGACTTTGACTAGTAGTCAAAGCTTTTTTCTCCTCAGCTTGGGTTTTCAAACATGTTGTATCTTCACTGCTCTCAGCTCCTTTAGCATCTGTGGAAAGCACTCTCTCACTAACAGCACTCACTGTCTGGGTTCCTTCGCCTGCGTTTTTCAGCTGTAAAAGCTGACACTCCATTTCTTCTATGTATTTATCACTTCTTTCCAGTGCCTTTTTTAGACGGTTCATTTCGCGTTCACTTTGTTCTACTTTGGACTCAAGTGCAGCTACTGTAAACCTACCAAACCTGCAAGAAGTAAAAAAGAAAGAAAATATTAAGCTGGAAAAAGACATTCTCGTGGTGCTTTGTGCTCGTTTCAAGAAAGAACAAAGCTATTAAACACTGTGTTAATTTGAAAACAAAAGTCAGAATTTTTCTCTGCTAGTTACAAAAAAGAATAAATCATCATATACAATGTACAGGTGGAGGTGAATACCTGAAAAACCAAAATTAAACTATTAGCGGTAGTAAGGCAATAACAAGCAGATTACCCTTTCAGGGGCTGGTTCTATCAATTCAACTCAAATATGCATGAAGAATTATCCCCTAAAACAATGGCAAAGATTTATGATAACATTTGAACAGTGGTCCACATCTTGAAATATTTACATTCAATCATTTTCCTACAGTACAGCAGTGTTTTACAATACATTTTTTACACAATGTCACCTTGTCAAATATAAAATGCCAATATGAAATTCAGAAATTGCAATAGTCCTTTGAGGTGGTTTAAATACTTACATAGACCATTTCAATTATGTTTCAGTTAGATATACAGCTGTTCCTCAGCCATCATGTGGATGGTACTTCCACTTACTCCACTTGTTTTTTTGAGCTTTATAACCGGAATAATCTAATTTCTTCCTTGACTCCAATACAAAAAACCTGCCACTTGTGGTTTGTGAAAGTTGTGTGTTCCTGGGGCTTCCAGCGTGAGCACATTTTCAACTGCCAAGATACGGACTTGCCTTCCCCCCATCCTCCACCAGCTTTCAAGACTGACCTTCCCCAGAGGGCAGGTGAAGGTTTCAGCTAGATGCCCTGACTAATTCTAACCTGTCACTGACAGGTGGGCACCAGGGAATTCCCTGCTCCATCCGAGGCTTTCAATTTACAGAAAGAAGAAAACAATTAAAGTTCTGGTATTATTAGGAAGGAGGGAAGGACCTGCAGCCACCCTACAACTCTGACACATCAGGTTTTATATCACAAAGAAATGACAATTCTGTATGTGGGCTTACACTAACCTCTGCTTCCCACCTTGCAGCTCCATGTTACAGCACAAGTTTATATTCACTCTTCCAGCACTGCCTGGAATTTCCACCCTGTTTCTTTGTCTGTCTGTCCTTCCTTCAGCATCTTTCAGAGTCACAGGGAGTTCCCATTCCATTTACCCCATTCCATCCCCTCACCCCTTTGCAAAATGCTCCCACTGCAACCCTCAGACCAGCGAGGTCTGAAGGTAGCACATCTGTGGCCCGCCACTATGCTGGCAAAATACCCATGAATCTATGCATGCATTGCCAGCAAGGAACCAAACTGTATTTTGTTTCTGCAATTCCTGAGGCCAAAGCAGTAGGAAATTGCTCTACGCTGAGAACTGCAATACAGTTAAGTGGGCAGTCGGGGAAAGGAATAAGGGGTATCACAAGCCCCAAACAAGCTGGGCATGAGCAACCAGATCTGCTGGCATATCTCACCATTCAACAGCTTCTGTGTATTTAAAGGACTTTGAAGGTTTTAGTGTAGATAGTTCCGTGGTGGGGAAGATTCACACAACAGTCTAAGTCAGTTTTTTTTTCACAGAACTGCTACTAGATCACTTTTAACATCAGATCAACCTAAACTCCACGCAGTTTTGGTACATGCCACTCACTGCTTTACAGACACTAAATGGCAAGGTAGTAGCTTGATATTTAGAATGGGAGTGTTCATTTAGTAAGATTTTTTTTCCCCTAAAAGAAGCTGGCTGAATTGGAACTCTGTCGAGGCAAGGACCACTCCCCCTCTGCATTACCTCTACTCAATTACCTTTGTCTTCATAAAAATACAGACAGACCATTTTTTGTTTGCTTACTCTATGGGTAACAAGTTTTCTCAATTGATTATAGCAGTTTCGCTATTTCTGGTTGCATGCAAGAGGGAAATGGGAGAAAAGGTGCACAAGAATTCCCCCTCTCCCCTACGAAATGAGATAAAAGCAGAATCACAGACAGCTCAGGAACGCGTCAATTGTATTTTCAGATGAAGGGGATTACAATGAAATAAGCAGCCTCACATACATAACCTGTGGCTTATTCCCTCCTTCAGTAAAAGGAACTCAAGATTTTGGTTTTAAATACTGAAGGACCCACTGTAGCACAGCAGGGCCCAAGCAAGACCCTTCCTGCTCCCTAGGGTGATTCAAAAGTATTTATTTTGCTTTTCTCTAACAAACCTGTTCACACAGCCTTACAGGAGCAAACCTTACACTGCTTAATAAAGGATAAAAGTGATGCAAAATACAACTTTGCTTAATAGCCAAGCAAGAGATGGGGAAAAATGCTTATGTAAAATAAGCAAGATTTTCCAGGGTCTGCTGCCACAGACACTTTGACATAAAAATTAAACATGTTTACATTTATATGCATACCTGGCAATTCCTTTTTAATGGAAGAATGGTGTAATATGTTTATTTAATGCAAATAGCATTAGTGACAGCCTGAGATTTGCTCATGAGGAAGAAGCACTGTATTCTCAAGTGCAACTTTTATAACAAGTGTCCTCAGGTTAAAAAAAAATACTGTATGGTGTTCAAAGCCAAACAGCATCACTAATATGTTAATTGTTGTAGAGGGATGTGGTTGGGAATTTTGCTTTTCAGAAATGGAGCATCTGACACGCTGCCTACAAACAGTAACCTCGGCAGTTCAGCACCAGAACAGGAGCTGCTTTCTGTTCCTGCTTTGAGACTTGCATGCATTTAGTTCCCACATTTTCAAGGACATCGATTTTTAAGACAGCCATGTTACAACGCACATATTTAAACCAGTTACTCCAGACCAGAGCACGACATACGTGTTTTAGTGACTGATCTGGCAGGTCAGCAGACAGTTTAAGAGACATGCATGTTTTGGTTAAAAAAGCCAGAAGCCTCCCCATCTCCCCAAACCAAACCACTCTCCTAAGGGATCTCCTCTTCTTTTCCATTCAGACATACAGTGAGCTGTGCCATAGCCAAAAAGTTATGGTCTGATAATAAGAATAATAGAATGCAGTACAGTTACATGAAAAAAAATTAAAATTGGGCCTGACACTCCAGATAAATTATTTTTCCTGAAGTATTTGAACCATTTTGCACTTGGTAACAATTTGATGCATTCTTCAGTAGAAGTTAATGTATTCAGTATGCATGTGGTAAAGAGCACTTTTTATATCTTCACACCGGGACAAAGTCTTTTCAGTGTTAGGGTCTTGTTCTTCATCTGTATCACTTAAACAATGAGTTTGTATCTCATTGCATTTGTTTCAAGCACATCCTCTCTATAGAAAACTGAAAGCCCAGAGAAACTAGTGGTCACTCAATGTGAATAAGATGACATTTCAGGAGGGATTTGGTGCTTCAACACAGACAGCTAGTGATATTTTAGGTGGTCTAAGGTCTTTTACAGGACTGCTGGCCTCCAGCTATCACTCTGGAAAGATACAGGTCTCCTACAGATCCTGCATCACAGCTGCTACCCCCAGGCAAGTGTACTGGATATGTTACAGTGTCTGAGGTGACATTGGACATCTAGATGAGCACTTGCACCCTGTATTTCAGGACCTTTCCTCAGTTAAGAGTCCTTCTCATCCCAGCATTATTCTGACTTGACACTAATCAGAAAGGTGCAGTCAGCTCTCATCTACAGTGAGCAAGAAGAACTAACGTTATAGCTATAATGTTTGAGTAACCCTCTTTCACATCATTCTACAACTGCTCCTCAGTTATGTTTGAGTACTCCTGAACATGTCCATTTAGAAACTGGGAATTTTAATACTCTCTCACCCACAAGAGAAAAAATGTCTTTGGTTGTTTTTTCTCATCTATCAGTTCTGCAAATTCAGCTTCAGGGTTTTATTTTCACATATCAGTGACCACTAACTGTAGCAGGTATGTCTGGTTGAGCCCTTAACTCCTATCAACTCAGTTTAAAACATTTCTCTTTGTGGATAGCAAGCAGCTGCAGCAAATAGTTTTCCTGTGTAACTATTTATAGAAGACTGGGGCTGCAAGGATGCCATGGAAGATGACTCTCCAGTTCTAATCCCTTGATGGCCCAGATTGGCCCTGCAGCTCAAATACACAAGCGTGATCCATCCTCCAAAAGAAACAAAGGGTGAGAAGTGGGAAATGACAATGTACAGTCATGGTTTGTCACAGTTCCAAGATGAGGGCAATGCCAGAGTGCACAACCAAACCCAGTCCCATCATTTAGATACCCGTTTTCACTTGGATTCTGCAGTTAGATGGGAAGAAAGAGGTAGGAAATCCAAGAAGAAAACAGCTGAAAGCCCTACTAGTTTGTATGGCCCTTCTGCGATATCATGTACCAGATGCAGCCAGATGAGAATGAGTTCTGCAGTCATCCTCTACACCTACTATGAAAGGTGATCTGCAGCAACATCTAGACAGTAGCCCGGGTTATGTATAACTGCCTTTAAAAGTATGCCTATGCAAATATGACACGTCTAAGAAGAAAAAACAGTTACTGTCAGATGGGAGTCTTTTCCTAGCAAACAAGAAAAAAACTCAAGAGATATACCTCAAGCACGTTGCTCTATTTAAGATCTGAAGCCAGAAAAAAAAATAAAATAAAAAATAGAATTTGGTTTGACTGAAGAAAAAGTTCTGGGTATAGAGCCTACTACTGCTTTCCATTCTGCAGACCAGGCTGGCTGACAGAAGAGTGTACAACAGCTCCTTCTTGAAGGAAGTAGTAGAAACACTTGCTATCACTAATTTTCTAAGCTTGTAAAAGAACGAGTTATTGTCAGTATAAGCAAATACTGGATAGTAAATCCCTCTCCATTGCACAGTTCACAGAGTACAAAACCAATCTGAAGACACACAGTTTTCCTCATGAAATCTCTCCTTGAGCATCAGGGAAATCCAGTTCCACTTGAGTAAGGCTCAGCTCAAGCTTTACTGTTTGTTGGATGACTGTACAGCAGCAGGATTTCAACAAAAGAACAGACAAGGTACATTCTTGGGAAAGAGCTTCTCCTTTCACTTGGGAAATTGGGTGAATTTGGACAAATGTGCAAAACCCTTCCAAGCATTTTGACATCGTTCAGTGAAGCAGAACTGGTCTTCCACGTAGGAAAGTCAGAATACACCAGAGGTCGGTGAATATCATAAGCCAGGAAGGATTATTTCAGAATTACTAGAAAAAAAACCACTGGAAAACCCACAAAACAAAGCAGTGAGATCTGAATGTCCTTACCCATCTGCTTAAGGTTTAGCCTGCGACTGGTGCTTCCTCAGGCTTTAACACTATGACTCAAGAACTCAAAGTTGTTTTGAAGGCTACTAAATAACATTTTCTCCTATTTACTTTTAAGGCCATACTGTAGCTGGTCTCCGAAGATGGCCACCCCTCTGCAACAGCAAGCTTGCGGGGAGGTGAGAAAGCAGCCCAGTTTTCTACCAAGGAAGACAGCAGCGTTCTTACTCTCTGCACCCTGGACACAGTTTACTAGAAGCCTATTTGTAAACTCAGTGAAATGCAGACTGAATTAAATAGTCTGGCATGAGTGGAAATATTTGAGTTAGACAAAAATTGAATGTTGTCCAGAATGACCTTGAAAGTCAACAGCCTTAGATTTCAGTGTGTAGGCACCTGAAGTCACAAATCTAGACAAGATAACCAGTAAAACTGGGGAAAGGGGAAAAAAAAAACCCCAAACCAAAACAACAATAAAACAACTCACAAAACCAGAGAAAAGAGATAATGCAACAATTTTCTGCATGTTACAGATAGTTTTTCATACTGGGATTTTAACTGGCAGAAGAAATTAAATATTTAGGGAAAAGACTCCTAGGAAGCCTAGAAGTCTGGTTCAAGCTAATTTGAATCTAACCATTCATAAAATACACTATACCCTGGAGTAGATGGACTTGCTAGTTATTTTCCTTCAGGTAAAAAGCAAACATCCCTTTGCCAAAAATGCTTTTAGATCCATTGTGCCTTGCCAATAGACCTAATAGTTTTCTATTTTAAGTAGAGCTGGAAGTAATAAGGCTTTATCATCCTGCAAAACTTAAGTTTTAGAAGTTTTCCTGTTCTCTATTGGGAAAATTGAAATCACTGAAGATTCCTCAGGAGAAAGAGCAAACCAAGAGCAAGCAACAACCACCAAACACTCAGTCTGATTTGCCTGAGAAATGGGAGACTAACATAAGTCTTTGGTAAGAATCAGGGCAAGAAACGTACCTCTATTTGCTTTTCAGAGCTATGTCCCAAATATATGATGGTATGGTATTCTGGTAAAGGTCTATTCTCAACAATGTTTCATTAAAAAAAAAAAAAAAAAAAAATCTAATCAATCCACATCATCAATTACAAAATTGTGTAAAGATCCCTGACATGGCTGCAACGCCAATTTTATTGACATACATGACATTTTTCAGCAGGTTTTAATGGATATGAACAAAGAAAAAACAATTCAAGACTATGATAAAAGGAAAGTTTTTTATTGCCTGCTGAAGAAGGCTATTTATTTTTTTCCTGTGATGCCAGAGGTAAGGTCGGTGTTACAAAGGGAACGTTCACCTGCCATCAATGTTTCCTTTGCTATAAAGCAAAGCCTACTAAAATAATTCAGGCTGTGATATTTAGCTCCCGTGTCATTAGGCACAAAATGAACTACATTTGGGATAAGGGGACTGAACGCTGACAAATCCTTTCAAAAATAATTTGATACAGGTTTTAGTTAGTTACCTAGCCAGTTGTTTAAGCATGAATCCATACCTGACAATCTGAAGCTAAGAAATACATGACAAATGAAACAATGGTGGTGACACTAAATTACAAAGATCCAATCCAGTAGCTATTTTAAATTGCACTAGAGAGCCATTCAGAAACTTTTTCTAAAAATTACCTTCTGAACAATTCTGTATAAAGTACACTGAAACAACTGTACTGGCAAATCAGTGTGCCTGCACAGGAAAGTTTAATTATAGTGAGATGGTCGGGCTCTGATTCTTATGCCTTCAATTCTGATTTCTTAAGCAAGGTAAGAAAACAGCAATTGCAACCCCTGTTCAGTGTGTGAAGCCTAGTTGAAAGACCTTGTAGATACTAGCGAAGCTTGCCATCGGAACTGGAAGGATATTTTAAAAATGTCCTAATGTTAGGTCTGGTCTAGATATTGACCAGACTAATGACTACAAGGGTGAAAGTTAATTTATAAAATCTGCTAACAACACTAAGACGGGAAAGACTTCCTACCACCTGAAGGACGTGACTGGAATTCAAAAGAATGGTTTTAAGTTTGACGCGTGCATCAAAACATCATCCTGAAGAAAGCCAATAAACGGGTGAAGTCCCATACTTTGGAAGGGGACATTAGCAGCACAAAAGCAAAATGAGGTACGAAGGTAATTTTTTAAGTAGCTATTTAGCAGAATTGCTACTGTCCATTTGTGCTAGAAGTGCCAGGTAAAAGGAAGCAAGAAAAAGGGAATTGCAAGATAACAATATAAGACATTGTAGCAAGACGCAAGACAGTTTTTCTGCTCTACTTAGTGCTACTGAAGCTTCATTTGGAATCTAGTACTCAGTTCTAAGCATTGTTGCTTCAGAAAACCATAGACACTGGAGACTCCCAAGAGTACAGCAAACCCAAGCAAATCAGACGTTTACTTTTTCCTCTTAAGTCAGACTTATCTAAAAGAATTGGACAAATTCAGTTTAGAAGACATACTAGAAATGAACGGGTATAGGCAGGGTCAATCAAAATTGCTAAATTTAAGGTGTGGAACAGTTTCTTCCAGGACAAATTTTTCCTTGCATACACTTAAATTCTTGTAGTATACCACTGGGCTCAGAGTAAAACCGAAGCTGAAGATAGGCAGGGCACAGACATGTGACTGTCTAAACTCCTGAAGTGTTGAACTGTTCCTGGCCCAGTTTAAGCCTTATTCAACTCATATGCTCCATTTCCATGCACAGTTCTAGAGTCAGCATGGGCCAAAGATCATTCCCAGCAGGCAGGTAGGATGTGACTGATCTGGAGGCTGAAAAAAACCCAAACCAACCAAACAGGGTTTAACAGTAGAAACATGGACAGGCCAACCTAGCTGGCATCTGGGTTGCAAAACAGACCTTGACACTGTCCAATTTCTAGTAACATTTGGCTATGTCTGTGCTTCTAAAGAAGAAAGTAACTGGCTATTTTTTTAGGCCACACTGGCAAAAGATGGGAAAACAATCAGCTTGCAACAAGCTTCTTCACATACATCTGCTTCCGATACCTAATTTTTGTGACCAGCTGGATGGTAAAGCATATACAACCTAGAAGAAATGGAAATTCTCTCCACTGGGGAGCTAGTACCTGACATCAGTAAAGTAAAATCAAGTTAGATGTTCTGGTCTCTTCTAGCTCTTCTTTTCTAGGATTTATTTAGTTACATCTATTTACTTTTCGAGTTTGCCATCCTTGCCAACTCACTCTTGAATCTTATGGGAAAAGATATTCCATGCCATTAAAGCCCTTTCCATTGCCAAGACCTTAAACAGGGCTCTATCTCCCTTATTAGGGGACTTCAGGGCAGAATGTACTTTTATGCGTTTAACAGCATAGTGCAATGATCACATATCTTCTTTCTTGTGGTCTTGAATGACAAGCAGTCTGGCAAGCAAGCTCTCTATAAGGATGAATTTCATCTTCCAGTAAGTGAGTTGTGAACTTTGACAAAATCCAGAGAGCTCTCTTCACATATTACACAGGTACCCCTCAACCCCCTTCCTCAAAAGCACCGTATAAACCTTTGGCCAATGCTGCTTTTAGCTTTCTAAGTTCTAAACCAATGAGAGAAAAAAGGTAGCAAACCAATGAAAGAAAGGAACACAACTTTAAAAATATGAACATGTTGCCTCACAAAGTACTTAATTAAGACAGAACATTAAACACAGGTGTCAGTTCTGGGAATGATGTGCTCATGCTAGAGAAGCTCGATTCTACATATCTTGCCCAGACACAAAGCTATCAGGGACTTTCCTTGAATAGGGAGCCTAAGTCCACAGAACAAACCTGAAGGCAGCAAAAGGAAGAACAAACCAAACCCAAACCAAACAAACAGAACATCTGTTACTGAGTGCAGAGCTTCTACTTTGACCATACACCAGATTTAGAAATTTCCCAATAACAAAAATAAGTTAACTGTAGAATTCCACTAGTAAATCTAGTCCTTCAATATTGGTCAGATAATGCAAGGAATAGCACTTGTAGTCATGTCATATTCCTTCTCTGTAGACTTGCTGCTATTCTGTAGGTTGCATTTGTCACCCACGTCTAGGAAGATGAAAATTCCAAAGTCTACCTGGAAACACATATGCAACACCATGTACACCACCGCAGTTTAAGGTTAAAGCCCTACAACAGATAACAGTCTATAAATAAAATATGATAGCTTTTAAAATATTCACATACTTTTGGGGTGATCTACTATCAACTTCAGCTTTTAGTCGCAAATTCTCTCTTAAAAGGCTATTGTTTTCCATGCTCAGTTTCTTATTTGCCTAAGGAAAAGAAAAGGAAAAAAAAATAAGTATACAGTAAAACAGAAATTACTTCTAATATTTATAGGACAAGCTGTTTCTCCTTTTTAAAGAGACAGAACTAGAAACGTGAAGGCAGGAAACAGCCTTCAGACAGGGACACCACTTAAAAATCACCATGGGAAATGGCTTGCAAAACTGAATAGCGAATAGGCATTTTTTATTTATATTCCCAAAATACATCGCAAGTGTCCTATCTAGGGAAATAAACACAGCTATGTTAGTTAGCACAGAAAGTCATTAAGGAGATGTACTAATGGCAATTCCATGTTTTTTCTTCCACATGACTAAATACGTTAAGTACATTAACATTACAATGTGCAGGTATCAGCAAAACTAATGTTGAACAGCTTCCTCCATTCCAAATTCAAGTAAGATTACTTTGGTTTTTTGGCCCATTGTTTTTAAAGTATAGTTATCCTATGGGTGTAAATCCATTATGACAAGCTATTTGCAGTCTTTCTTCACTTTCTTCCAGGATGTTGTGATTAAGACTCCTGATTCACAACCCTTCTTACTCCTTGAATTGAGGTCTATAAAAAGAAGTTTTCCTGCTGCCGTGTTTCAGAACAATGAATGCCACCAACCTAACAAGTAGAAAATACTCTTTGCACTTCATAGTCTGCTCAATCTCCGTATGCTGAAAATAGCACCACCAGTCCAAGACTCGTAATTCATAATCCCAATTAGATGATGCTTCCACTGCACAATAAAAGTATGATCTAGAGTTAGATCCAAAGAAGGAGCTATGCAACTGGGCTCAGGAGTGAAACATCCTTTTTCAGAAGTACCAAACAATGCAAGAAGAGAGGCAGAAAACTCTAAATGCTTATACAAATATCCCCAGCAACCTCTCCAGGTGAGGCTAAGACAGTGGGGGGTAGGGGGAATGGAGCAGAAAAAGCCCCCAGGAAACACCACCACCCCCAAACACAATATTCCTAGGGGCAGAAAGAGTAAATAGAGACTTCTGGTAAAGAAGTAATGGGAGGGGTGAGCCCAGGGCTTGGGTGCTGGAGTGTTAACTATTTGGTATTTCAAAAATAAAAGCACAAAAAAACACCCTGAAAGAAATGAGTAAGAATTCAGGGCACCTCACTTCCAAAGGAGCATCAAACCATTTGACAACATGGCCAAGACCTTTCTGTCTTTCCAGGGACACAGTTTCCCCAGCCACACAATAAAAAGGAAACCACATGACTTGCGTAGATTTGGTAGGTAGGGCATCCACCTGGCACACAGCAAGGCAGGACTGAACCTCTTTAGCGTCCTTCTTCCAGAAAGTGCTCTACCCTCCAAGCCAGTAATCTGCAAGGGATCCCCACTTGCAGCACAAGGTCTAGATTAATGAGTTCATGTAACTGCATTATTAATGAGTGCACTTTGTCTAGTATTTCTACTACTGGCTTTGTATCACCACTTCCATACTTGTTACGACTCCACTCAAAGTCGTAACACCTACTTTGGGAGTCTCTGCTCTAAGAAATTAAATGATAAAGGTGGCTGCTATTTCCTGACTCTGGTTTTAAAAAGAAATTGATGGCAACAACATTTTCTGAGGGACCTTGTCTCACAGGGAAGTGATGGGTGGTTGAAGCTCCTGGTTCAGTACTTCAGGGGATAAGAAGGTTTCTGGTGTACATGGGAAAAAGGTCTTGCTGTTCAGACTGGGGCTGGTCAGTCAGAAGTGAAACAAGGTCCAAAAGAAGAGCCAAGTGATTTCAGGTATTTCTGGAACTGAGCAGCTGTTGAACAGGGGGCAGATGGGAACAGTGTGTCTGGATCACAGTTTAAGACTTGGCCCCTAAACCTCATCTAAACCTCTATTAGTAACTAACCCTTAACCAAATTCAGAGACTCCATAAACTTAAAACCCTTTTCTTGCTAAGGTTGAAATTATACTGAAAAAAACCCAAACACACCCCTCCCTCAGTCCCTGCTATATTCTTCTTTTTATTTACCTAGGGAGAAAGTTAAAAACCCTAGTCACCACAAAAAAAAAAAAAGAGGCAGTACAGTTCAACTTTATGGGAAAAACAAACAAACAAAAAATTAGGCAGATGAGAACTTGCTGTGAGTCCCCTTTTGCCAACTACAAGTGACTCTGAAGTTCCTACGATGGCAGAAGATGTGTACCAGCCTGTAAAGCTGAAGTCTGAGTCTAGCCAAGCTATTGAAAAAGCTGACTTTGGGAACTCTGTTCCTTTTAGTGTTTCTCACTCAGTCCAATCAGGGCCACAATTTACACTACACAGAGGCAAACCTAGTAGTGTCCCATTAACAACAACAGAATGGCAGAACAGTATAATGTGGACCTCTGAGTCTGTAGCACAGGAAAAGCATAAACAAGTATTAATGCTTACAAAGGAAAAAAGTGTCCTAAACACATAACACTTTGTTTTTGCAGAAGGCAACCCAGGATTTTTAATAGAAGAAATAAAGGCAGCATCTTAAATAAATGCAAGTCCAGTTCTTTCCACCTTGCCTTTCAAATTAATCTTGAAATTTCACTCTTCCGCAACGTCTGAGGTGGTCCTTCTTGTGCCCGCAGGTAGATTTTGCAAGCCATGTTTATTTAGATGTATTTTCACATGACTATCTTCTGCACCCCTCCTTCTGCAATACCAGGTTTTCTTTTATATTACATTCAAGATGTATAAAAAAAGATGCAGGTTTCCAGTAAAGGATCTTCTGGTCATAAAATGCTGAAGCTTGTCTATTTTCGGTCAAAGGGTCAAGTTACTCTGTCTCAGCAAATTGCACCAAAAATATCGGTTAGCAGGGAGGGCAATAGTGCAAAATCTGCCTCAGCCAAGTGTACTGTGTTTGGCCACTGAATGTTGTAAAATAGATATATTATATAGATTATTGCAAGCCTGAAAAATCTGGTCATCAATACTGGTGACAAGTGCTACTATAATCCAATTACCCAGCCATACAGTGACAGAGGAGTTGAAAAAGAGTCACATACAAGACTCACTAGAACAAGCAATAACATCTGACACTTTCAAAGGCTATATGGAAATACTATGATACACCAACAGTCACTGGAATTCAATTTTTTCCTCTTTCTTCTGGATCTATGAAGTACCCAAAGGTCATGCTAGCTCTCAATCCCATTTAATTAACACAAAATGGTTACACTACGAGATAGCTGAAGAAATGTATTTATTACCTCCTTTAACTTTTCCACATTATCCATCACTTTTTCATATATATCATTGGCAGCTTTCAGCTTTTTGCTCCATTCCTCTGGGGTTTCTGGGCCGCTCTTACTTGCTTCATCTGCTGACCGGCTAGTTTCCTCATTTTGGCAAGACAAAGCTGATGCTGTAGGATCCAGAAGAGATTTCAGCTGTGTCTGCAAACTGAGATTTTTACCTCTCAGATCTTCCACTTCTTTTTGCAGGGATTCTATTTCATCCTAAAGGTGTCAGAAATTCACAGGAATTAAAATAAAGTGTGAGATTAATTAAATAATACTGGCAAGTTCCCACAGCACTTTAGAAACATGGGTTCTCTGGCAAGCCCAGATGCATGCCTTCACTTACACATATATCTAAGTATGCTTATGTATTATGCTCTAGGCAGGATTTTAATCAACCTGCACACTTGAGCATCGTGAAGGTTTTAGCAAAGGGAATCCCTTGACTACATAAAGGACCCTGAACAAACTGGCGGGCAGACCAAAAGCTTCAAAGCATGCAGCAACTTGAATCTATTATTAGGGCACTCTGTGGGAGGATTTCCTGTATCAAGAGTGTTCTTGAGGTCGTCCTCTGCTGACTCATTTGCTGTTATTTGAGAGTGTTTCTCTCATTCTGAAACACCACGTGTTCAGATGCTGAAAGTCTCAAGATTCCAAATGGACAGAACACTGCCTGGAAGAGGCTGCTCCAGCTACATGAAAGTAGCAACATCTTAGGAAAGACTCTCAACATGCAAAGAACAAAGCTCTTAGCAGTATCGGTCTGAAGACACAGAGAAGCAAAAACCTTCAAAAGCCTGTTGTTAAAAGAATAAAAGAAATAATTTATCCTGAAAAAATGTCTTCTACACTGTTCACCAACTTAAAATACTTAAGTTGCTCAAGGTCAGATTACTAAAGGAGGTCATATATGGCATTTACATAAATCTAAGGCATATTTGCATGAATAATCAAGCTTCCCCCCCAGCATGAGAACAGCCATTTTAAATTTAGTTTTTTGAAGGGATTTATGGTATCCTATGCCTAACTGTGCAATTTTGGAGTTGATTCAACAGAAAGGCAGGAAACCTCATTTTCCTGACTCCTTCCATAGAGGATGAAAAAAGCTAAGCTACGGGCAAGCTTGTCATAAAAGACAGCCCCTACTTCCCCAGTGTTAAGGATATATACTGTGTCTGTTTCCTTTCTCTCATCCTCCTCCCTGAGACAGGTTTCCTTGCAAAATAAGCTATGTCTTCACACTGCTGATACTAGGGAAACAACAGCTGAGAAAAGAAACTAAGCATATTCCTTATTAACACCTTTTCACCTCGTTCCTAAAAGGCTATTTTCCAGCAGGAGAGTGGAGACAGACTTCCAAGTATTCACTCACGTTCAGAAAACAATACAGCAACAATGATAAAAATTAACCTATGCCATAAGGTTACAGTGGGCAATATTCTTTAAGGAATTTAGTCTGCCCAAGCAACAGGGAATTACTTCAGAAAATGTTTGCATTTGTATTGGACACAAAACAAGAAGTCCCCAACACCAAATATGCATAAAGAAAACCCTCCCATACCACCTGGGGGTGGAATTCCCACAAAACTATGGAATTGGCTGTACTTGGCTACCTGTAGCATAGAAATAATATCACCAGGACTTCAGTGGGATCACTTCAAGCACCAGCAAATACTCTCTTGTAACCTTAGCCAGAAGGTGGGATTTTTAAGTAGATTCAGTATAAACCTTTACTCAAATTAAAACCAACAGGACTCAAAGCAAAAGGACCAGTTGTATGCAGTAATTTAAAGTTGCAATTCAGCTGGAAAGTCACAACACTCCCCATGTCCTTACCTCGTATTCTTTGTGGAGCAATTCAAGCCTTGTTTTACGTAGGTGTTTTCTGACTGTCGGACTAAATATAGTATCACTTTCACTCGTTCCTCCTAAAGGAGCACAGGATGAAAGAAACACTAATACTGTTTCTTTTTCAGTCAATTCAATACTAGTAACCCACCTTACAGCGTTTTTCATATTATCAGCTACAAATAGAGCCAATATTGGACCAATTTGCTACCACGGGAGATTTAAAAGTCCCTTCATATTCAGAATGGTTAAACAGGAGTATCTATTAGCGATGTTTAGAAGTCAAAAATCCTGCCTCACAGCAGGAAGACAACTTTGAATTTTTCAACTTTGTATTTTCCTTGACAGAATCCTGTTTTATTTAAGACCATACTATTAAAACAGAGCTAAAGGAGGGGGGTGGAGGTGAAAAATCAAGCATAGTACAAGATAGTATAAGTTTCTAAAGTGAGATTGTTCAGATATATTTTTCTCTCAGAACCAAATAGCAGAGCTGACATTTTATGTCAAATAAAGTTCGCAGTATTTCCTAGCTCTGGGGAAGTTCAGATCCTCATTCAAGTGTTGTAGCTTTGACTTATTTCTGTGCTAAGAGACGTTTTCTTAAACACAAAGCAAAAGGGAGGAAATAGTGAACAAAACACAAGAAAAAAGACCACATACTCATTCAAGATACTGGATTTAAGTACACTATTTCTCAGCTAAATGCTATTCTCCTAGGTCAACAGGTTGCAACATACAGGTAGAGTACTTCAAGCAAGATGCATTTTTTCCAATTAAAGGCATCATCCAACCAAGATTTAAAAAACAATCATCAGAGCCGTGGGATGCTTGCTGGCTTTGAATAATCTAGCCATAATACAGAGGAAAAAATATCCAGACATCTTTGGACTCGAAACAATCTCCCCCAACAGTAAATACCAGAAAGTTATTCAAAGCCTAAAGTTGTCCTTACCTATAATTTCCTTGCAAGGATTTTCAGGCGTGATGGGAATCCTGCAAGCTGGACACTGATTATTGTTCTTCAGCCACACTTCAATACAAATGGAACAGAAGACATGGTTGTTGACACAGATGACTGGGTGACGGACCTTTTAGTATTAAGGGGGGAAAAGAAACAAAAACCAGAAAGACATTCTGAATACTTTAAAACTCTTTCAGGTAACAGAATACTAAAATACACTACTCCATCTCTCAGTACAAGTCTGGTTTTGCAGGAAAGAGACACTTGTTTCACAGGGCTCGCCAGGAGTGACCTCCTGACTTGCACCACCAAACACTTCTTATTGAAGGCACCAAAGCTATAACCATTTTTGCAAAGCTAAGGTCCTTGATTCCAAGAGCTCATTAATACACAGTGTGGCAGGCACCCTTCCTTCACCCCACAACCTCCAAGAACAGCAGCCAACCACTGCAGTGAAATGTGTTTGCCTCCTTAGGTAAAAGGAGACCAAAGACAAGCATTAACCGATTTCCAAAAGTGTGGGAATGAGGGATTGCTCCTGGCAACAACCAGCATTTTACCTTGGAAAAGGTGTCACTGAAACGGATTGTGTTACAGATTAACTCTAGCCTGCACATAATCAGCTTCATGGAAATCAGCCTTAAAAAGGATAAGGGCCAAACACACAGAGCAGAAACATGAACCAGCAATCACTAATTCAAGCCTCCTGCTAGATATGCATTGCTACTAAATAAGTCATTACCTGAGAATGGGGCAGCTAACTGAAGGATTAAATATTCCAATCAGACACGGATCCTTTCAAGAAGCTTGCCCTCCCCTTCCAAAACAGCAGGGTAAACAAACTTTTAGAAAATATTAATGACAATGCATTATTCCCTCTTGTCACTTAACTATAAACCCCGTTTGAAAGTGTGCATAGAGGGACCAGATATGATATAGAAGAAAAAGACTTTCCCCTATATATCTATGTCTTACTGCAGCTTCTGTTACAGCTCATTGTAGCACACACTCTCAAATCTCTTGCATCTTAACAATGCTATCTGTGTTATGGGCCTTAGAAATAATTATTTCTTTTTCCTCCACCACTTTCTTTGCCCAAGAAACATGTTTTGAGACACAGAAGTAGCAGTATCTATGGCTTTAGAGTCTACTGTGTTGCACTTAAACCCCAAGTTCAAGAGAATTCTTTCAACTTTAAAAGAAGTCCTCATCATCCCCAAGATCTTCCTCTTTCATTCTATTAGTAAAGTAGTCAAACTAAAAAGGAAAAATGAAACACCGGCAGGGAGAAGCAAGCAACTGGAAAGCACAGCCAAAAATCACTTTGGAAGACAGGTTAGATATGTCCTGAAGTAACCACACCCATACAATCAGTGTTGCACAAGCTAAAACCCAAGTGTTTTACCACTGAAATACATGTGAGTCTGAATTGGGGCTCAGATCTGTCAGCTTCTTCTCTAAGTGACTATCTATACCTCTGTCACATTACATGGGATTCACAGTATGTTTAAAACCTCCAATATAACAGTCCTGGGAGCCAAAGGATTTATCTAGACACTAACAGAAACTCAAGTTATTGAAGGTGTGAATAGAGAGAGACTAAGAGACTCCTCCAAGTGTCTGCACACTTTTAGCTCTAATTAAGGAGGCTCTTTTGTGATTAATGCAAGCATTAGAACACCAATGCTTTGGGAATGTTTAAATATTACCATTTCAATGATTTAAAAAAAAAATCCTGCTATTTACTGCTTTCCTTTACTGGTAAAAGAGCTTTTCCCAGCTTTCCCACCAGCAGCTAGAAGGAAAAAAACCCAAGTTTTTCTCTGGCTGTACTTCCTTCTTCCTCAGAAGCAGCCTGAGAATAGTTCTATGGATGGCGATGATAGGATACAGAGCAGAATAACATAAAATAATCCAAAGGGGAAAAAACATTTCAGGAGTGCAGGTCTCCCTGCTGGGGAGCAAGAAACCCTCAGTTACCCCAAATCTGACATGCAAGTGCACTTCTTGCAAGTGAATGATTACTCCATATCTCTAGCAAAATAGTAAGTCACATTTATTACTCTCCAGGGTACAGTGCTTCTGATTTACACACCTTTAGAAGTTTCATTTCAGGGCTGAGGTTTATACTTTCCTTGGCTCAGGATCCACACAAAGCAATCCAGGCGACAAGAGCAGAAGCCGCTATGGAAATGTCACACAATGGCTGGAGGTGCCACTGCCCTTCACCCAGTCCCCCAGCCACCGACTGTGAGAAGCCCGGAGGGCGGGGGTGCGCAGATCGTGACATACTCATTACTAAAAAAGCATTTCACTTGAATTACAGCACAGTTTCAGTTCCTTAATCAACCATAATGTCTAGAAAGACTACATTGACGTAGCTAGGTGATTTTGAGCAATTTCCTAATTTTTTCCCCTGCACAAAATACGATTCCTGTGCGGATCAAAATCAAACCCTGTACACATCTATGTCACTTTGAAGGCACTTCTGGACTGCCAAGCAGCTTTAAGGGAGGAGCAGGCATGTAGAAAAGCACACAGATACCAGTGAAAGAATCCCCAGACATCCTAGGGGGTTTCAAGACACACAGAATCATGTGCTGGAGCCCAAGCAACCTGTCGACACCAAAACCAACAGGAGAGACCTTCAGTCATTCTAGGATGAGTAAACCTAATGGCCTGATGCAGATGGCTTCTGATCTGCTCACTAATTATGAATACAGATATGTTAGAAGACAGCTCAGACCGTGTTAAAAGAACATTCAGGCAACAAACATAAAATTTATCCAAGCAATTAACTCTTATAATAAGTGGTTATTTGCACATCGTGCCAATATACTTTATGACACTGTTCACACTAACAAAATGGGCTAACA